TCCGGAGAAATTGGTCTAACAACTAGCTGGCAATACAGATCAGTCGCGATGCACTCGAACTGTATGTCTGCCCAAGTCAGCTCGGCTTTCCAAGCTTTCAACTTTTCTTCTTCGGCGTCGAGAGTCGCGTCGAGAGTCGCGTCGAGTTTCAACTTTCAACTGATCAGCACGAGGTTACTCCTGATTTGACCAAGGTCATTCTTGTCATTCTTGACTTTCTCCACCTCGGAAATCTCTGCCTGTACCTTAGTAAAACGCTCTTGAAACTTGGCAGCCGCCTCACGCCTTGCCTCTTTTTTCGCCCTCTTTATCTGCGACTCGAGAAGGGCATCTTTGGCCGCACTTTGCCTTTTCAGGGAAGCAATGTTAGAGTTCTTCCTCGCCCAAGGTTCTTCAAACCGAGTGGCCATTTTTTTGAGATCTGCCTTTGAAGCCCTCTTCTCCTCCTCCAACACGTCAATCCGAGACAGTACTCTGGCACTGTTGCTCACAGATTTTCTCAAGGTTGGCTTTGTACGTCGCGACATCTTGCCTCGCCTTTTCCAGGCGATGCTCGTCCTTGTACGAATTGGCTTCAAAACCGGCCATCAGCTCGTTTATGGCTGCATAAAACTAAAAAAAAACACAAACAGGTCTCAGAATGTTGAGAATTCAACAAAACTCCAAGGAAAAATAAAGGAGAAGGGATCAGAACGAAACATACATTTTTCCCGCGCTGAGCCATCGCAACATAGGATTTAGATTGCCTGAGTCGGTAGTGATACATTGGCATTGTTCACCTAAGAAAACAACAGTGCTGAGGCGATCGCATCGTCAACCACGAGCTTCCTCTGTACCGGCTCACTAACAGGGTTTCTCTTATCCATTATTTTTGCTTCAACATGAATACTCTACTACTTCGCTTTGGCAAAATCTTCCTCACTCTAAACAAAAGCTTTGCTCCAGAAAAAAGATACTTATCTTACTCTTTGACAAGACAACACTTACAAACTTTACCCCTCGTCTCGTTGCTGGCCATAGCGAGACAATATAAACAAAATTCTTTAAATGGATTTTTACCACCTTTCCTAGGACAAGGGTGCAAGAGACATCCTCTATGGATAAAAATGAAGTGCGCTATACAAATCCTTTACCAAACGCATTTGTCGCACTAATTCACTATCATATACGAGAACATAAGTCGAGACTACATCACATTCTCTAAAGACCGAAGTAAATTCTTAAAACTCAGCTAAACATATTTACCAGATTGGAAACGCGGGTCCTTAATCATAATTCAAAGGGAAAATTCAAACTCGGATTCTTCTCGGCAAAGAATTACGGTTAAACACCTCGTCATGGTAAACATATTCTCTTATAGCTTAAACGCCTCGTCACAAGCGATCAATTTTGCAAGAAATCTGGTCTAACTGGATATATACATACTTAGGAAAACTGGTCCTTAGAAGCATTACAGCTTATTAAAGTTCACAGAATCGTCATTCTAACGAAGAGTAAGATAAAGCCGTCCAGACACAAGGTTCAGTAATAAAGACAACAGGAAGACAAAGTGGATAAAACAAAGAGTTGAAAACGTCGGTCCTTAATAATAATTCACAGGGAAAAATTCAACCTCGGATTCTCCTCAGCAAAGAATTATGGTTTAAATACCTCGTCACGCTAAACATCTTCTCTTAATGCTTAAACACCTTGTCACAAGCGATCAATTTTGCAAGAAATCTGGTCTAACTGCATATTTACCAACTCAGGAAAACTGTTCCTTAGACGCATTACAACTTAGAAAGGATCTTTCTGATCCTCGTCTCGAATACCAATCTAAAAACGGTTCGACATTGTAAGACTGTCTCATAGAAAAACGTTCCAACTAGCTGGCCCCTCAGATCGATCGCGATGCGCTCGAACTCTACGTCTGCCCCAGTCAGCTCGGCTTCCCAAGCTTTTAGCTTTTCCTCTTCGGCGTCGAGAGTAGCGTTGGGTTTCTGGAGATTGCTGATCAGCACGAGGTTACTCCTGATTTGGCTAAGGTCATTCTCGTCATTCTTGGCTTTCTATAGCTCGGCAATCTTTGCCTCTACCTTAGTAAGACGCTCTTGAAACTTGGCAGCCGCCTCATGCCTCGCCTCCTTGTTAGCCTTCTTTACCCACGACTCGAAAATGGCATCTTTGGCTGCAATCTGCCTTTTTGATGGAAGCAATGCCAGAGTTCTTCCTCGCCCAAGATTCTTCAAACTGAGCTGCCATATATTCGTGATCTGCCTCTGAAGCCCTCTAATCCGCCTCCAGCACGTCAATCCGGGACTGTATCCTGGCGCTGTCGCTCACAGCTTTTCTTAAGGACGGTTTTGTACGTCGAGACATCTTGCCTCGCCTTTTCTAGGCGACGCTCGTCCTTGTATGCATTGGCTTCATAACCGGCCATCAGCTCGTTTATGGCTGCATAGAACTAAACAAAAAAAAATAGAACAGGTCTCAGAATGTTGAGAATTCAACAAAGCTCCAAGGAAAAATAAAGGAATAGGGATCAGAACAAAACATACATTTTTCCCGCGTTAAGCCATCGTGGCATAGGACTTTGATCGTCTGAGTCGGTAGTGAGACATTGGCGTTGTTCACCTTTGAAAACAACAGTGCCGAGGCGATCGCATCGTTAACCACGAGCTTCCTCTGTACCGAATCACCAACAGAGTTTCTCTTATCCATTATTTTTGCTTCAACATGAATACTCTACTACTTTACTTCGGCAAAATCCTCCTCACTCTACAAAAAAGCTTTGCTCCGGCAGAAAGATACTTATCTTCGACGAGACAACACTTACAAAATTTACACCTCGTCTCGTTGCTGGCCACAATGAGACAACATAAACAAAATTCTCTAAATGGATTTTTACCACCTTTTCTAGGACGAGGGTGCAAGAGACATCCTCTATGGATAACAATGAAGCACATTATACAAATCCTTTACTAATGCATCGGTCGCATTAATTCACTATCATATACGAGAACATAAGTCAAGACTACATCACATTTGATAACACCAGATTTTGACCATTTTTATGGATCACTTTAATATCTTTTGCAGGTGTTTTAATTCCATTTTCAAAGGTTTTCAAAGGATTTCTATGTTTTCAGATTTTAAAAGATTTTTCAGGTAATTTGATTTTTAAAATTCTTTTCAGGTTATTTGAAATAAAAAGACTATTTTGGATAAATTCAGACCGTCAGAACTCTCATGGAGAGACGAAGACCTTCTCACCGTTTGAGCACCCCCAAAATTGGACACTTAACAGAAGACTCAACCAGCTTTCAAATGCACTTGGTTTGGAGACATTCCAATGGTTGGATCTCAAGATATTCTATTTGCCCTGAAGACATTTGAAGATGCCCGGCAAGCCACGGGACCGCGGCCAACAGCCCATTCACCGAGGCCAGAGCCACGCGACTGCGGCCAAGCCCTCATTCCCCATGGTCACGCTTCACGCGACCGCGGCCAGACTTATCCGTCTTAAAAAGCCAATTTCTGAAGCCCAAGTCATTTCCCAGCCTCAATTCTGGAACCCTAGAATCCTTGGAGAATTGAAGACTATAAATACTTGGCATTTAGGTTGTTTTTAGACATCACCTTTCATACTTTTACATAAACCCTTTTTCCAGCCGTTTTATACAATTTTAAGAGAGGATTCTTCAACTCTGAGCTCATCAATACAAAAGATTTCTTTCATCTCTTTTCTTTTTTGTTTGATTGCTTTCATTAAAACCAATGATGATGTCGTCCTCAGCCATGGCTGGGTAGATCTCGAGTTGGGCATAGGGTTCCCGAAAGGGGCTCTCATTATCGAATAAGACATCTAGGTTTTTAGATCTGAGATTTTAACTATGTTCTCTGTTTATTTTTATTCTTAATGCATGTATACTTGATTGATCACCTTGTATCTGATCTAGATAGTTAGTGTTGTGAAAATTTTCAATAAATGTCAGACCTAGAATGAAACAGGCGATTTTTCCGTAGGAGTGGAAACCTACCTACGGCGAAGTCTACTGGTCAGGGTTGTGAGAAACAGTTGGTTATGATCACGGCGGTGACGTAGTCATACCGTCGTACTCTAGCTCTAAAACCCTAATATTTCGATATCCGTTAATCCCAATCTAAGATCACTAGTGTTGAAACCGATTATGATCCCTGTAGAGTTCCCGAAAGTCCAGCATTTTTAATCACTGCTTACAAACCAATCGATATTTACTTGCTTTCATAGATCTGTGTTTTTACTTGCTTTAGTTCGATTTCCTACTTGTTTCATTTTGCTTTCATTCGATTTTCTACTTGCTTTTTAGGATAGATTTATTTGCTTTCTTTAGTTTTAGTTTAATTCGTGACAAACACCAACCTCTTAAAATCGATTTAGTCTATACATACACTTAGAAACCATAGAAAAATATTAGGCACACAAATCCATGTGGATTCGATCCCTAAGTTCTACAATTGATTAGCTGTGCACTTGCAGCTTTCATTAGTTTTTATTAAGTGTAAAACTTGTTGCCTCATCTCGTAGCACATCAACATTCTCTAAAAGACTGAAATGAATTCTTAAAACCCGGCTAAATATATTTACCAGATCGGAAACGCCGGTCCTTAATCATAATTCAAAGGGAACAATTCAACCTTGGATTCTCCTCAGCAAATAATTACGGTTTAAACACCTCGTCACGCTAAACATTTTCTCTTAAAGCTTAAACGCCATGTCACAAGCGATCAATTTTGCAAGAAATATGGTCTAATTGCATATTTACCAACTCAGGAAACTGGTCCTTTATACGCATTACAACTTAGGAAGGATATTTCTGATCCTCGTTTCAAAAACCAATCTAAAAATGGTTCGACATAGTACGACTCCGTCTCATAGAAAAACGTTCTAACACGAATGCATGCGAATAACGGCTGAGGCAAAAACTATTAAAGTTCACAGAATCGTCATTCTAACAAAGAGTTAGATAAAGCCTTCCAGGCACAAGGTTCAAAAATAAAGACAACAGGAAGACAAAGTGGATAAAGCCGTCCAGGCACAAATAAGTTCGAAAATAAAAAAGGAGAAAAGGGTTAGGCAACATGAAGATATTCCTTATGATGCGATTCGGAGACGACCACGGCGGCAAGATCACGAGCTCTCAGCGTATCAATGTTAGCCCCCACGGGATCGAGAACTTTAATACCGGCGACAGCAACCTCTACCCGCTTGGTCCCAAGACGAGAATCAACAGAATCCAGAGAAAATGGACTAACAATTAGCTGGCCCCTCAGATTGGTTGTGATGCGCTCAAACTCTACGAGTGCCCTAGTCAGCTCGGCTTCCCCAGCTTTCATCTTTTCCTCTTCGGCGTCGAGAGTCGCGTCGGGTTTCTGGAGATCGCTGATCAGCACAAGGTTACTGATGATTTGGGAAAGGTCATTCTCGTCATTCTTGGCTTTCTCCTGAAACTTGGCAGCCTCCTCACGCCTCGCCCCCTTTTTAGCCTTCTTTACCCGCGACTCGAGAAGGGCATCTTTGGCTGCAATCTGCTTTTCAGGGAAGCAATGTCAGAGTTCTTACCTGCCCAAGATTCCTCAAACCGAGAGACCATCTTTTCGAGATCTGCCTTTGAAGCCCTCTTCTCCTCTTCCATCACGTCAATCCGAGACAGTACTCTGGCACTATCGCTCAAAGCTTTTCTCAAGGTTGGCTTTGTACGCCGCGGCATCTTGCCTCGCCTTTTCAAGGCGATGCTCTTCCTTATACGCGTTGGCTTCATAACCGTCCATCAGCTTGTTTATGGCTGCATAGAACTAAAAAAACGTAAACAAGTCTCAAAATGTTGAGAATTCAATAAAACTCTAACGAAAAATAAAGGAGAAGTGATCAGAATGAAACATACCTTTGTCCCACGTTGAGCCATCGCGACATAGAACTTAGATCGCCTGAGTCAGTATCGAGACATTGGTGTTGTTCACCTTTGAAAACAACAGTGCCAAGGCGATCCCATCGTTAACCACGAGCTTCCTCTGTACCGGCTCACCAACAGAGTTTCTCTTATCCATTATTTTTGCTTCAAGATGAATACTCTTCTACTTCGCTTCGGCGAAATCTTCCTAACTCTTAACAAAAGCTTTGCTCCGGCAAAAAGATACTTATCTTACTCTTCGATGAGACAACCCTTACAAAGTTTACACCTTGTCTCGTTGCTGGCCACAGCGAGACAACACAAACAAAATTCTCTAAATGGATTTTTACCACCTTTCCTAGGACGAGGGTGCAAGAGACATCCCCTATGGACCACAATGAAGCGCGCTATACAAATCCTTTACTAAACGCATCGGTCGGATTAATTCATTATCATATACGAGAACATAAGTTAAGACTACATCACATTCTCTAAAGACCGAAGTGAATTCTTAAAACCCGGCTAAACATATTTACCAGCTCGGAAAGACCGGCCTTAATCATAATTCAAAGGTAACAATTCAACTTCAGATTCTCCTCAGCAAAGAATTACGGTTTAAACACGCTAAACATCTACTCTTAAAGCTTAAATGCCTCGTCACAAGCGATCAATTTTGCAAGAAATCCGGTCTAACTGCATATTTACCAACTCAAGAAAACTGGTCCTTAGACGCATTACAGTTTAGTAAGGATCTTTCTGATCCTCGTCTCCAATACCAATCTAAAAACAGTTCGACATAGTAAAACTCCGTCTCATGGAAAAACGTTCTAACACAAATGCATGCGAATAATGACTAAGACAAAAACTATTAAAGTTCACAGAATCTTCATGCTAACGAAGAGTTAGATAAAGCCGTCCATGCACAAGGTTCAAAGATAAAGACAACAGGAAGACAAAGTGGATAAAGCCGTCCATGCACAAATAAGTTCAAAAATAAAAAATGGAGAAAATGGAGAAAATTGAACAAAAGGTTATTCCTTATGACGCAATTCGGAGACGACCTCGGCGGCAAGATCACCAGCTCTCGGGGTATCAATGTTAGGACCCGTGGGATAGGTAACTTCAATGCCGGCAACAGCAACCTCTACCGGCTTGGTCCCAAGACGAGAATCAACAGAATCCAGAGAAAATGGGCTAATAACTAGCTGGCCCCTCAGATCGGTCACGATAGGCTCGAACTCTACGTCTGCCCCAGTCAGCTCGGCTTTCCAAGATTTCAGCTTTTCCTCTTCGGTGTCAAGAGTCGCGTCGGGTTTCTGGAGATTTCTAATTAGCAAGAGGTTACTCCTGATTTGGCCAAGTTCATTCTCGTCATTCTTGGCCTTCTCCAGCTCGGAAATCTTTGTATCTACCTTAGTAAGACGCTCTTGACACTTGGCAGCCTCCTCATGCCTCGCCTCTTTTTTAGCCCTCTTTAACTGCGACTCGAGAATGGCTTTTTTGGCTTCAATCTGCCTTTTCAAGGAAGCAATGTCAGAGTTCTTCCTCGCCCGAGATTCTTCAAACCGAGCGGCCATCTTTTCGAGATCTACCTTTGAAGCCCTCTTCTCCTCTTCCAGCACGTCATTCCGATACTGTACTCTGGCGTTATCACTCACAACTTTTCTCAAGGTCGACTTTGTATGCCGCAGCATCTTGCCTTGCCTTTTCCAGCCGACGCTCATCCATATATACGCATTGGCTTCATAACCGGCCATCATCTCGTTTTTGGCTGCATAGAACTAAAAAAAAACACAAACAGGTCTCAGAATGTTGAGAATTCAACCAAACTCTAAGGAGAAATAAAGGAGAAGGGATCCGAACGAAACATACCTTTGTCCCGCGTTGAGCCGTCGCGGCATAAGACTTAGATCGCCTGAATCGGTAGCAAGACATTAGCGTAATTCACCTTTGAAAACAACAGTGCAGAGGCGATTGCACCGTCAACAACGAGCTTCCTCTGTACCGGCTCACCAACAGAGTTTTTCTGTTTCTTCTTAGACGGCTCTACAGCAGCAGGTCCTTTGCATTTCTCAGCGGCAGTTCGCTTACGTTTGGCTGCCTCGTGCCTAACGAGATCGGACGCAGGAGGCCTCGTTGATTGGGGAAGGCCAAGTATTGTCAAAGCTGTTAGCTCAGGAGGATCATGTTTTGCTCAACGCTCTCCTTGACGCCTTGGGGAGAATTTCCCCTTGCTCGATGTCATCAGTGGCAGGCGCCTCCTCATTTGCCTGTTCAACGGACTACGACTCTTCTTGAGCCATGGCATCCTCAGTCTGTTCAGCGGCCTCCTCGGCTAGCCAAGCGGCCACCTCTTTTTCTCTCTTCTTCCTCTGCGTAAGCGTTACGATAACCATCTTCTCCTTAGTATCTCTGGAAGAATTGGACGACCCTGAGATAATTGGAACTCCGGCTATAATGGATCGGGCATTCTCGACCCTCTCAAGAGAAAAGTGGCGCTTCCAGTTATTCTTCTGAGCTACTAATACGTCTCGAATGGCAAACAAGTCTTTGGAAACTGGGGGAAGAATGATTCAAACTACAAAAACAAAAGGAAACAAAAACACAAGTCAAAAACTTGGACAGAGGAAATAGAAATACCGAACCGAGGCAAGACATCGGATCGGCTACCAAGTGGTCCCCAATCGGTGTTGGTCATATTGACGAAGTCGTCACCAACCGACACCTTGTTGACAAGAACGTAGAAGAAACGTTTGTCCCAAAAATTGTCCTTGCTCGGAAAGCCGCATATGATTTTGCGCTTCGGTTTGTTCGAAATGCAAAACCTTCTTCCTCTGGGAGCCTTGCGAATCTCCAGGAAGTTCAGCAAGTGGTCAAGATCGATGTCAATATGGCACTCAAGACTCCGCACCAAAATACCGATTATATGTCGCAGCCCCTTCGGCATGATCTGACTAGTGGAAATTCCGTGTTTCCAGAGGTACTGAAGGATCGCCTCGGGAATCAGAAACCAGAGAAAAAAGAGTTCAAAGAAACTCTCATATACTACAAAATGGTTAGGAGGCGGAAGGTGAGCACATTCAGTCGGTCTCGGCACAACGAATTCGACAGTCTCGGAGATCCCAAAGCGAGTTCGCAGAGCCTCCAGAGATTCCGCGGAGGACAAGGACGAGCTGGGGGATTGTGTTTTTGCCTTTTCTTCCTCCGAGCTCTGGGTCGCCCTGAAGTTGAGGCGCCACAGCTCGCCATAAGACGCTCTAACCCACGCCTCGCCTCAACCAGGTCAAATGGGAAGGCATCTTTCCCGGCTTTTACTGTGGAAAGATCAATCTCATCTCGGGAAGGGCGGGACCATGAGAAGAGCTTGTTGAAGCGTTAAATTGAAACATCACGAGAACTCGCCTTGTCATCCCCAATCGAACCATAACGAGGACTCGCCTCACCAGCAGGGGCTCGTCGAAGAGGACGCTTCGTTGCCTTGATATCGCACCTCGTAATTAAAAAGAGTATCCAACAATTCAGAGGATCGGCTCGTCATATCTTACACACTTACACAAAATTTACAGCTTGACAGAGATTTTTACAGAACGCTTGTCGGCACAAAACAGATCAATGGTGCGGCAAGGATAGAGCGGCGGCGATAGAAACCCTATGTATAAACTAGAGAGAGAAAGAAGAGAGAATGGAGAGCTACATTTTTTGAGTTTGGAGATCTGAAGTTATGAGGAGAAGCAAAGAGTAAGCACCCCTTGTATAGAGAATTCGGGTCACATGGGGTCCGCATAACCTTGGTAAACCACTAGAAAAATTAATTACGATGTGTGGTGGGATCCGCAACAGTTACTTATTTGGGGGTGAGCCATTCGCAATTCGCGTCCCACTCAGGCGCCTGGGGCTGAGAATTCTTCCCAAAACAAACCACTAGAAACACTAACACACACCTTGGCGTTAATCTTCCTACACACGCCTCAGCATTAATCTTCTTACACACGCCTCGGCGTTAATCTTCCTACACACGCCTCGGCGTTAACCTTCCTACACACGCCTCGACATTAATCTTCCTACACACGTCTTGGTGTTAATCCTCTTACGCATGCCTCAGAATTAATCTTTCTATACATGCCTCGGTGTTCGCACGCATCAGTCTAAATTTTCTACCGAATGATTAACTTCGGCGTTTAATGTCTCAGACATGCTTCAGCGTTATCTGTTGTGGAAATGTTTTGGTGTTATCAATAATGTACACGCTTTGGCGTTATCTCTTCAGGAAAAACGATTTGGCGTTATTTCTCTTACGCATGGCTCGGCGTTAACACTCTTGAAAAACGACTCGACGATTAATCGCCTTAATCACGCCTCGGTGTTAGACCTTCTCAATCATGCCTCATCATTAAACTCTGAACAAACGCCTCGGCGTTTAGCTCTCTTAAGCACACTTTGGAATTAAACATCACATTTATATATAGGAAGCCTTGAACAAAAAATGCCTCGGTATAACCACCTCAGCGACCATTCTCACACATGTACGATGTCAGAATTCATGCAAAACGGCAAGGCATGACACCTCTTACAACACACCTCGTGCCAGGGTTAAAGCAAAAAACGCCTCGGCCTATACTCATTCACAAGAGTGTCTCGTCTCTCTTTTCTTTTCACCCACCTTGGCGTTATTTATCTTGAAAACACCTCGGCTAAAATACACTTTGATACTAAAAGAAGCAATTTCATCCACTTTACGGTTCGGCATAAATGTGGTAGCCCTGTAGTTTTTATAGCTCGGCCCGGAAGCAGCTAACCTTGACATAGGAATTCTCCGCTTGCCATCTTTGTCTCCAAAACTGATGAGTTGGGGGGCCAACTGTTGGGGTCGGTTTTCACCCCAACAGGTTTAGCTGCCCGAAAAACGGCTAAGTGTCAGAAGGAGAGGATGTAGGATCAATATTCCCACCCAAGTCAAACCAAGACAAGTCCCAGTGGGCCGAGTCATGAAGACAAGAGCAAATGGGCCGAGCCGTGAAGACAGAAGAAGCAAGTGTGACGAGCTGTGAGCAAGTGGGCCGAGCCACGCGGAAAAAGATATGGACCGAGTTGTGCGAGAGAGGGAGATGCATCTCTCAATGGGCCGAGCTGGTGCCTCTCTCAATAGGCTGAGCCAGGTGGTAGTCGAGGATTAACAAGCCTAGTCGTGAAGAATGAGACCCATACTCTTGAGATACTTAATCCTAAGCCGCATTAGAAGATAAGAAAATGTTTCCTGAATCTTTCTGAGATTCTCGGTTAGGCGGTTTACAAGACTTGTATAAATAGTCGATAGATGAGATTCATTATGTAACAATTGACAACCATTTGACAACATTAAGACTAAACACTTTTACAGCAATAAACCATCTTTAAAGTTCTTGTGTTCTTGCGAAAAAAACTTTAAATTTTTGGATCTCCTTTAATTTCTTTACAAGTTTTGATTGTACGAGTTTTGGCTAATACATTTACACCATCAAAAACATTGTAATTTAAGAAAAAGACTTTCGTATCTTTTTATTTGATTTGCATGAAAACAGTTTATTCGTGCCTCTACAGTCCATAACCAAGTATAAACAATATATCTGCACTTAAAGACCGTGCTAGACCTACCTCAACTCTTAATTTTTTTATTTTTTTTTTTTAACTTTTCTTACTCTAACACTCAAACTAGGCTACACATAATTAGCATAAAGGGTGTTAAACCAGCCTTAACTTGAGAATTGGGGTATGGAAAGTTGAAATATTAAAAGTCGACGTAAGTTCTAACACGGTCTTCAAATGTATACATAGATTTTTCACATTTTGTCATACGGGAGTCATGAATAAGGCCATATTTCCACAACGATACCCGTTTACTAACAATAACTCGAAACCAAATTTATTTCTGAACAAAGTGTATGTTACGTCGATCCAAGAAGGAAATCGGAATCCATAGGTTCCCTTTCTGATTATAAATTGACAAAAGCTTCACTTTCAAAGCGTTGGCCATCTTCTCTCTCACACATATCCCATTTTATTAGCCAATCACATTATTTCCACGTCAAAAGGTTTTGGAATCAGTGGAAAACAAACAAGTCCCACAACAACGCAATCAACCTCAGATCTGGTTTTTATCATTAATAAATAAAAGGACAAAAGCCTTTACTATTCTGAATAATTGATTATCACTATACAAAAATTCATATCTCATTCACCAGTTATTATCAGTATTCCTTTTTACACATGTGTAAGAAACTATCTCAGAATCAAGTACGATGTAACTGTTAAAAATTATACTGATATTCATGCCTCTTGTTCAGCTTAGCAAATTGTTTCCGAATTTATTTTTTCTCATTTGGTTTGAAGGTTAATTAATGTATCTTACACTTATTTTCACCTTTTTATTTACCATTTTATAATTTATCATAGTATGTTTCAAGCAAGGACTAATTCTGCAATAATAAGTGGCATTAACAATGCTGGATTTTTGTGTGGATATCTTAGGGGCTTAGAAACTGTCTCACAGATTTAAAATATCTAATATAGTTTTCATTTTATTTATATTTGTGTCAGTAAAAATAAACATTTATAATTAGATTACTGTGTTTGGAGTATATTTTTACAAAAATAGAAGAAAAACTGGAGTATGTAATTACTTTTGGAACTCGAAGTGGCAATGAGATATATGATCTTTCAGTTTTCCCAAATGAATAATTGATAATAATCAGATTAATGCATGGAACGAACATTTGACAAATGATAATTTAGACAACATTGTACACAACAAGAAGATATAACAAATTCGGGAATTTACATGAATAACAGTAGTTTATAAACTCATTGCAAACGTTTTTCATCAGAAACTTTAAAGTTAATGAAATCAAGTGTTGCATATAAAAAACCCTATGAAACTCATTAGGAAAACAAAATGGTTACGACGAAAAGAAAAAATGATGTTAATGTGATTAAAATAGAAAAAGAGTCCAAGCACTAATTGCTGAGACAATACCTTCTGTTCACATAAACACACATGTATTAGTGCATATATATATATATAATGCATGCAGATATAATGCATGAAAGTATTTATAATTATACATCACATGTATATAAACACGACTAATATGAAAACTCAAAAGACATACATGTAAAACTTTTATCAATAGTATGCATACAAAATAACCCTCAAAAAGTTTTCATCATACATATGAGTAAATTGCGCCTGAGGTGGAGTGGTTAGAATGACGTCCAAAAAAACTTAAATCAACAGAAATGTAAAAAGATCATTCTACAGAACAGGCAACTCAGAGGATTTTTTTTTTCTCGATAAAAGCAACTCAGAGAAGCTTCGCTCCTTATTTTCATTTACAGACTCAAAAATGAGTAGTGGGGAGTTGTCACGAATTTTGATAATTTACTGAACAAAATTGACATATTCAAATAGCATATGTGGCCATGATTTGATACAAATAACATATAATCATTTATCTAATTTTCGAATCCCAATTAAAGGCATAAAACATTATTACCATCTATTCAAATAATACTCAGGTTCATAATATCTAAAATTTAGGAATGAAGAGTAATTATGAACATACCTTCAAACTATTATAAAAATTCTATCTTGAAAGAATCTGACACTTGAATCATTGGAGAGAACCCTGATTTGTCATGTTTTCCCACAGCTTTCTTGAGCTTCTTTTTTTTTTCCAGAATGTTAGATGTTATATATTTTCAGTTGTTTTGGTTCAATAACAAAATGGAAATGAAAAAGAAAGTTCAAGAAAGCTGTGGAAAAATATGACCAGGATCTTCATCTTTTCCTTTCTCTGAAATTTACTCACGAATTCAACATAAGAGAATTATGGACCGGGAAATATATAATTGAGCAACTTGCGTATACAAACTTTAGAGGACCACTCTGTTGGGATACAATACAAAATGAATGATATGTGAACCTGCTTAGTAGCGAGGGACTGAGATAAGAATAGACCTCTTTCTTTCTTTATGCCTTTTCTTTTTGTTATATAATTTTATATTAAAAAATCCCCCAGTAGTACTATGCCAATATAGTGTAAACCACTCTATTGCTACCGTAAAAGTACATGTTGGGCTAAAATTGTCACTTTTTGTATGTACAGACCTTGATTTCACTAACTAATGGAATGAAAAGGATTTCAGAACTCTTAATTAGACTAATATGATAAAATTTGAAAGCAATAAAAACTAAAGAAATATAAAATTCATGATAAAACGATATGGGATCCGAGAGTGGATGTGTTGACAGAACATTACTGAGTACTGACAAGGTCGTAATGCTTGGAATTGGTCACGTTAACTTGTGACTTTGAAAATCCACTCATATCAGACCTCCAGGTCTCGTTGAAATGAGCCCCATTGCATTTTCTGATCCCATAAATACCGCTATACAAGATAACAATTCTGTAAGAGGATTATAAAAGTCCGTTAGAAAATTTTGTAGGACCGAGTATTCGCATTATACAATAAATAGCAATTTAATCATGAACAACAAATAAACATTAAGGAAAGTCGAGCTTTAAAACCGATGTAAAAGAGACGAATAAAACCAAACAAGAGAGACGAGATAACTCTTTTTCTTTAACTCAAAGAATCACCCGTAGAACGACAATATAATCATCGATTCATGAGTCTCAAGATACAACTATTCAATTGGTTATCATGAGCACTCGATAACGGATCTGACGAACTAAATAGTACGATACTCTCGAAGACTTACTCTTAGGGGTAGGGAATTGAAGAAAGTTTTGTTTGCTTTTAATTTCCGGATGTGTTTTTATGTGTAAGCGAATACCTTTTTCTCAGAATATGCGATCATATATATATGAGCAGAGAACACTAGAGTTCGACCTTGTTGATCAAATTTCATGACTTGATAAACATGCTGCAGAATATTCTAAAAGGACGGTGATCCAAAATTGACTCAAAAATAATTGCTTGAAGGCCCATCAACCATCAACCTATAAGAGCCCATGAGCTAATAAAAAGCAATGAGCCACGAGCCCATGCCAGCCATGCGGCGGGGGCACACGTGTGGTTTTTTGTCCTCTCTATCTCTTGAACAAGGATATAACTTAGTCTTTATCTATATTACTTCAAAGTTTTCTAAACTTTGGATGCGTGGGATTTTTGACATGTCCTCTTATTTAAGTTAGCCAATTCACAAAGTTTTTTCACTTACCTCAAATGCCCCATTTCAACTCACACACACATTTGTTATGGTGATGGAAAATCAACTTGGTGCAGCTTAAACCGAGGACAGGTTGGTCCAATTGAGGTCTGTTGAAGATTGCAGCTCATGGTTTACGGTTAAGGAGTTAAACCGGCATCTCATTTGTAATTGATTTTAACGGCTAGTTAGAGCGTGTGTTGTATACGTGTAAGCTCAGATCTTATCTCTTAGGTTGTTATCGAGAAGAGGCTTAAGAGATAGATTGTAGAGTTTGTTGTATCGAGAGGTTGATTAATAGTTGCCTGATTCACCAGGCCGAGGAGTTGGTTTTACTCACACATCGTGAGGCCGCACTCGATTCTCTGTGTCGTTTCTTTTCTGCAATTTCTTTTGCTGTTTTCGTGAGAGATTGTGAGTTTTGAGAGTGAAATCAAAGATTGATCCAAAGAGCAGATCCTAACAAAGTGGTATCAGAGCCAGGTTATGAGCTCGGAAAGGTCAATGGCGGAGATCAAGGCGAATATCGCGATCTTCGACGGCCAAGGCGATTTCTCGATGTGGAAGAAAAGGATGTTCGCGCATCTATCGATTCTCGGATTGGAGGAGTTTCTGGCTGAAACGGCTTACTTCAAAATCGAGGTAAAGAAGGAAGAAGATGAAGATGCATTTGAGGAAAGAAAGGTCAAGGAAGAAGCTGACTGGGTCGCGAAGGAAGAAAAAGCGATGAATATCTTGATCTTGAATCTAGGCGATCATGTTCTTCGAAAATTAGAAGAATGTACAACAGCATCAGCGATTTGGTCAACTCTCGAAAGGTTGTACAATTCTAAAACTCTTCCCAATCGGATTCATATGCAACATCATTTCTATACCTTTAAGATGGTGGAGTCAAAGTCTGTTGATGAGAACGTAGATGATTTCTTGAAGGTAGTCTCGGGGTTGAGTAGTGTGAATGTCACTGTATCGGAGGAAGTACAAGCAATCTTGCTGTTAAGTTCATTACCTTCACAATACAACTCACTAAAGGAAACTCTGAAATATGGAAGAGAGACTTTGACTATAGAGGATGTGACAAACGCCGCAAAATCTAAGGAGATAGAGTTGAAAGAGGTAAAAGAACTAATAGGATCTTAGAAAGTCGGTGATGCGTATATGGCTCGTGGCAGAACTGATAAAAGAGATTCTGGTTCTAGAAAGGGGAAGAGTAGATCAAGGTCAGCCTCAGGTTCAATAATAACTTGCTGGTACTGCAAGAAGGAAGGTCACAAAAAGGCTGATTGTTATGCTCGGAAAAGGAAACTAGAAGGAGAGGAAAATGCCGAAGCAGCGGTGGTTATAGATGCATCCGAAGGAGAAGATGCTCTCAACGTGTCTGACAACTGGCACAAAAAAAATGGGTCATAGACTCAGGATGTTCTTACCATATGACATCAAGACGTGACTGGTTTGATAAATTTGAGGAACTTTCATCAGGGCAAGTTCTCCTTGCAGATGACTTTTCTGTTGAAGTGAAAGGCATACATTGGATAGACTAGGATTTGATCACACTGGAGGAAATGGAAAAACTAGGTTCTATAAGAATGGTAAACTAGCTTTACAGGGAACCTTGGTAGGAACTTTATACCTGTTAGATGGTGAGACAGTTACAGGTGAAACTAACAACTCTCAGTCTAAGAAGTTGTCCAAGGATGAGACAGTTTTGTGGCATAGAAGACTCGGACATATGAGTCTAAAGAATCTTCAGATACTTGCAAAAAGAGGAATTATCGATAAGAGGAGGATAGGAGAGATGAGTTTCTGTGAAAGCTGTGTGATGGGGAAACATAAGAAGCTCAGTTTCAACATTGGGAAACACAACTCAGAAGAATCTCTCAAGTACGTTCATGCGGATCTTTGGGGATCACCAAATGTAACGCCTAGCCTCTCAGGAAAGCAATACTTCCTCTCCATAATAGACGATTGCACTAGAAAGGTGTGGGTGTTTTTCTTGGGTACAAAAGGTGAAACGTTTGAAAGATTCTGTGAATGGAAGAAGTTGGTAGAAAACCAAGTGAACAAGAAGGTGAAATGTCCCAGGACGGACAATGGGCTAGAGTTTTGTAACTCTGAATTTGATGGCTTCTGCAAAAGTCATGGAATAGAGAGGCATAGGACTTGCGCTTATACGCCGCAACAAAATAGAGTTGCAGAACGTATGAACAGAACTATTATGGAAAAAGTAAGGTGTCTCTTGGATGAATCAGGGCTAGAAGAGTCTTTCTGGGCAGAGGCTGTTTCCACAGCTGTTTATCAGATAAACAGGTCACCGTCTTCAGCTATTGATAGCAATATTCCAGAGGAGTTGTGGCTTGGAAACAAGCCTGGTTACAAACACTTAAGGAGGTTTGGCTCACTCGTATATGTGCATAAGGATCAAGGAAAGTTAAAGCCAAGGGGCTTAAAAAGAATCTTTGTAAGTTACCCTGCTGGAGTAAAAGGTATAAGATTTGGATTTTAGATGAGAGAATATGTGTCATCAGTAGAAATGTGGTATTTGTAGAAGAGAAAGTCTACAAGGACATTAAGATCGAAGGTTCTATCTCAGCTGATGTTGATACTGAAGGTTCAAGAGATAAGGTTGGAGCTAGCACTGAGATCAAAGCTGAGTCTCAGGTGGAGAAACTCAGAACAGTGCCACATGGAACCGACGGATCAGGTCCAACACATGTAAGTGACACTGATTCGGAAGAAGATGGAACCGGAGAAGACACAGAACCAAGTGGATCTTCTGATGGTTATCAACTAGCCATAGACAGACCCAGGAGAGAAATAAGGCTTCCTGCGAGGCTTCAGGACTGTGATATATCAGCATTTGCATTCCTGGCGGCTGAGGATATTAGTTCAGTTGAGCCAAGAGACTATTATGAGGCAGTCAGGAGCAAGGATAAAGATCTGTGGAGCGGTGGAATGGATGAAGAAATGAGCTCGCTAAAGAAGAATGAAACTTGGTTGATTGTCAAGAGACCAAAGGATAGAAAAGTGATTGGTTGCAAATGGGTTTACAGACTGAAACCAGGGATACCAGGTGTGGAAAAACCCAGATATAAGGCAAGGCTTGTGGCCAAGGGTTATTCACAAAAGGAAGGTATCGATTTTCAAGAAGTGTTTTCACCGGTTGTGAAACATGTCTCAATCAGGTTTCTTCTTTCAGCTGTAGCAAATTTTGATATGGAGCTTGAGCAGTTAGACGTGAAGACTGCATTTCTGCATGGAGTTATTGAGGAAGAGATTTATATGGAGCAGCCTGAAGGTTTCAAAGTCAAAGGAAAAGAAAACCATGTATGCTTACTGAAAAAGGCTTTGTACGGGCTTAAGCAAGCTCCGAGGCAATAGAATAAATGTTTTGATCAGTTCGTGGTAAGTCAGGGATTTAAAAGAAGTGATTATGATCACTGTGTCTACATAAAGGAAGCAGAATCTGGGGTTCTGGTTTATCTGTTGTTGTATGTCGACGATATGCTTATAGCATCAAGGAACATAGATGAAATAAAATTGGTAAAAGACATGTTGAGCAGTCGATTTGAGATGAAAGACTTGGGCAAAGCAAGCAGAATCTTGGGGATGGATATAGAGAGAGATCGTCAAGGTGGAGTTCTAAAGTTGTCTCAGTCGGGTTACATCAGGAAAGTTTTGCAGGCATTCAACATGGATGAAGCCAAACCTGTGTCTACGCCTATTGGGTCTCAGTTCAGACTCTCTACGATAAAGGATGATGAAGCTGAGACAATATTGGAGAATGTGCCTTATTCAAATGCAGTTGGCAGCATTATGTATGCGATGATAGGTACAAGGTTGGATTTGGCCTATGCAGTTGGCTTAGTCAGTCGGTTTATGAGC